GTACTATGTAGTAATACGATGTTCATTAGTCAGTCATTGATCATTAGTGACACTCCTGAAAGTGATATACATTGGAATATTTAAATAGTGAAATCTATTCTATTCTATCGTAGATACAATTGAATGATGCTGCGCGACAAATGTAAGCAACGAAGTGTTAATACTATATTTCTTCTCTACACCCTCTATAGTCGCAGTAGTTGGGCCTTAAAACATGATTATAGAACTCGTTTCTATATTATTCTCTATTCTGGCACTGAACTGTTTTACAGAACAATTATTAATTTATAGGTAAACCACATAGTCACCTATATAATCTCCATCGGGGCTATCTTTTTTCATTATACGTATGTAGGTATATATTTATTTCATTTGAATAGGATAATCTTAAGCGTGCGTATTTAAACATAGATACAAAAGTTCTGGTTCTAAAAATTTCTGTTCAAAGTACTTACTGTCGAATTGAATAGTAATAAAAATAAGTACATACCATTGGGAAAATACAGAATTGTCAACTGAGATTTATCAGGGAATCGTAGAATCTGTCCATGTAACGTACATACATGATTTTATTGAAAAATCCAAAGACAACTATTCCAACATTGACGCCTCGATGATGATTGAAAATTCGTCACCGGTACGTTTATATTTTATATTTTATCGACAGCAATGGCGCAAAGGTGGCGCTAGGTGACAAACGTGTGTCAGGAGCCACGTGATAGATGAATATCACCCCCGACACCGAGGACGAGACCAGTTAGCAGATAGTGACGAGTTGCTGGGATTTATGGTGGTTTAACCAAACGAGAGGCACCGTGTGTTGTTAGTTTATCGATGGTACTCTATACTCTCCAGCACGGTTAACTGCAGATCTATCGGAATCGTTGCGCAACCCCGTTATTCAGAAATCACCCATATGCCTCGTGCTCTCGTGCTACGAAGGCACGCGTGCTTAATAGCGGACTCGCATGAATCGCTGCACCCGGGGAATTTTGTTATGAAAATCATTGCTTCAGAATGTTGCAGACAATTGTTTGCAATATGAATACTGTTCCAATATCAGTATGTGCTGTATATCGGAGATTAACAGTAATAATGAAATATAAACAATAATGAGATGGTTTAAATGGATCACTGAATATATTCTTCACCTTTGGGTTAATTTTAATATATGCAATTTTATACCAGAATTGGAGTATCTTTGAATTCAGCACAACTAATTTAGCATATTTAATCAGAACGAAAAACCAGTAAATATATTATATTCCATATTTATTTAGTAACTGCATTGATAAATAAACCATGTATCATATATTTGTAACTCATGATCATCACCGATATTTTTAGGAACAATTACTGGATCTTATACGCGGTCGCTTTTGCAAGTAAACGCAATTAATTACTTAAATTTATTTATTCGGAAAACATATCTCGATTTCTTTGAATACGTAGAATGGGTCTAAATGTTTAGCCGGCTGTGTACATGTTCTTTCCCAATCAGTAATTAATGATTAGTACTGAATTTTTAGAAAAAGTGATGGAAAGAATAAGTTTAACTTATTTAGAGAAACATATGTTGGAAAAGTATATTTTCTGATGTACTAATAATAATTTTACCCAGTGTCAAATCTCGTGTCAGTTGCGTTTTTGACTTCATTATTGGAACTTACCTCGAACTCTTAGTGCAACCAGGCGATGGATGATGTATTCTAAAAAACAATAAATTGAATGTCTAGAATGAAATTTTTACAAGTTTATCTCTATTTTCGAGAAAAATGACTGACCATTTAGGGCACACGTGTTATTAAATAGGATTTCACGAATATGTCATACGTTCGTAAATTGATGTTTCTACTTATTACAAGTACGAATTTTTATATTCAGTAGATTTTCAAAGACAATTATCTGGAAAACAGAGTCTTAGAAGAAAATATTTTACTCCAGACTGTCGGCATATATCTTCATGAAAAATCAACATCTTGCTGATTGTACCACTAATAAGACCACCCGAAATACAGTGGCCTCGAAAAGTGAGTTAACATTTAGTCTAATTTTTCGAATTCAGGAACTGAATTCTAAATGATGAACGTCGCGTTGCTATGGAACAAGACATTTTTGTGTTCCTTTTGTCATTTATTAGAGATTCACTAGGATGTTCAGCATTTATTTTAGTAGCATCTTGGTGAAATATTATGTTAAGTACGGTTGGACATTAACTTACTCACCAAGGCAACTCTATACTAATTAGATTCCAAAATGTATGCTTTTATGGCGTATATGAATAAAAAAGACATAATGGAAGCAAAACTTTATCCAGAATTAACGTTCATTTAATTAACTTTTAACTTAATAAACGTCCTAATTGCTGAAATAAATTGTTCCACGATACAGGTTATGATAAAATAATCTGTGAAAATAGGACTTTGCATAAATATTCACAATTTAATGAAAACATTTCGTACGAATCACAAAACCTCACACGTATACTGCTGTCTATACGTATATTAGGACACTTGGTCTGTATAAATAAAATCTTACGTATCATAGAAGTTGTATATTTTGAGCCACTTTTGTTACTTTATAAATATTATCATAAGTGTAGTCTATCAAGCTTTAATATCCCTTAAACAACATTTCTTTCAGAGCTTCAATAACTTCCTGATGCTTCATTAGATTCAGTTCATATTCGATACCTATCCTAATACTTACGAACGGGAGTACACAAACGTAATTTGTTTTGTTTAATCAATTTTGTTTTCCTCTTTATTATAGAGGAAACGTTTTATACTTGGATGTTGACTCATGTTGTTACAGATTAGTACCTACCTATTCATACAATACAACGACCGACACGCGCTTCACTTTTGGTTTAACGAAAGTGAAGTTATTGGGAAGACCTACGCTTGGGGGTTCCTGGGCGCTCCGTATTACAGACAAGACTGAAAATCACGCGGTATTACGGAAATAAAACTTAAAAAGTTTGTAGGTGCTGAATGAATTTTTAAATTACATTAAACCTTTTTAGGATATAATATGCATTTTATACGGTGAATATGGTGTTTATAATTGATTTATATGAAATAGTTCCATCATACATTTCTTATGGTTTTGTCAAGAAATTCTATGAAATTACCGAAAGCGTAATGCACCTGTTTTAATAATACTTAACTTTGCTTTGAATCTTATTTGTTAATAATTAAATTTAAATTTGAAAATTCTGTTTATGTTTATTTATACATGTATTTCTTTTTAACGATGATTTTAATACAGAGGCTCTATAATTGGAACACATACCCTATGGTCATATTCCATGGCAAATAACTCGAAGAAACGAAATTCCTTTGAGATCCCGTAGTTCGTGCACGATCGACGATTTCTTGTAACTTTTGCTCGCAGGGCAGGCCCGTGTCTTTATTAAACCCCCTCCCGAAACTGGCCTCGTTGTGTTTCCCTAATGGCAAGCACTGGTAACGGTCGGTTCCCGCTAATTGCTCGCGCTCAAGTATCCATTATTGCATTCGCGCGACGTAATTCAATCGGCGCGATTCCGCCCGAGGCGTTTTCATTGCGCCGCCGCCCGCAAATTTCCTCGACGTTTGAGTCGGCGGCGAACGAATTGGATCCTACACACGTAATCAATCTCATCTCAAGGCGGCGTGCCGTTCACCGTAAAACCGAAACAGAATCTCTGGACTCGCGTACTGTCGCAATAATCGAAGTTGAATCTGGGATCCGAACTTCTGCACTCGGTCATTTTGAATCATTAACCCTTGTGTAGGCAACCGGGTACCCAGGTAGCCATTTTTAAATTTTCTTAAACAATTTTTTATGTTCTTGTCTGAAACAGCACTTGATATATTATAGGGAAGGAAAACTAAGAGTTTCGGAAAAGTATGAAACTAAAATTATCTATGTTTGTCTATTCTGTCAGAATAGGAGTATTCCGATTTGTCAATAACCGTGAATATTTTGGTTGTCCACGTAAGGGTTAAGGGGGTATTCACATACGGAGGGGTAAAAGAATCGATTTTTCGAAATTGTATTCTCTTAAAGTATAACGCCTTGAAACTGTGTTCCCAAAGTGATATGCTGCAATTCATTGGAATGACGAAGTTATAACGATTTTAAGAGGACGATACATCGGAGAACGGTGCACCGCTGTATGAGTAAACGCGTTTTTCTTGAAACAATGTTTTCCTAATAATTAAATAACTTTAACATATACATAAAGTAGATGTCTCTTTCTATTGTGAACTATCATTATGTTGATATCTGTAATAGTTTCCTATTATCGCTTGAAGAAGTTTCAAATTTAATGACTTTTTACTTTACATGGCTGGCATTTTGTTAACAAATTTTTTTTCGGCTGCATAATAGTTCGAAAGATAGCCACTTTTTATTTACAAATTCGTTTTTCTTAAGGGTTGAATGAGGAATCTAAAAATGATACCGTTTGAAGTACCGTTTCACCGTCTTCTGTCCATCGTTTCTGTTATGAAGCAGTAGATTTCTCACCTTTCAAACCCCTAGTTTGACCTTCTCATTTTTTCGACCATGTTAGGTTCTCATATAAATGTTTTCTAAAGTAAGAAATGGTATAAACGCGTTATTATTCATTTGTGTGTTTACTATTGTTCCCGAGCACTGTGTTCAATGCCCAGCTGAAGTAATAACCATAGCAAGGTTAATGAGTTGACTGTCATAGCTGCCATCTATCACAGTCGCCTTTGAATTATGTAGAAGCACGTTCAATTTTTTAAGAATTACATTTACAGTCAGTCTTTTAAGCATAATCAGTAACAAAATGTTGATCCAAATAATGAATCTACAGTTCAATACATAAATATTTATATTGTTGTTTACAAGAACTTTGTTTTATTGTTGTATTATATTCACACGGTTGTATTATATTCCTTCATATACATAAATGTATATGAAGGAAAGAAGAATTTGAAACTTTCTTTTACCCATGATATTCAGTATAACACTTTTGGTTGCAGATGTTGGTGGCTGGGCTAGGTCTGAACGATGATATGTGGCACACGCTCAAATTTTCCAGGCGAACGAGTGCTTTGAAATTCCAAATCGACGACGAGCCTGCCGTGAGAGGTAAGTCAGAACATATTTCAAATAAGTGGAAAGCATATACATGCAATTTCATTTTAATCCTAACTGACACAAAGTGACATCATATAAAATCGTTTCTATAAAAAACTACAAAATTATACATATATAAACAGATCTTTAATGTAACACTTTATTCATTGTAGAATAAGACTAATAGTTTCCTTAGTTATTTATTTGTAGAATAAAATTACATTTATGTACATATTTCTTGATATAAATATGACATAAATACGAACATAAGTCGATTTTTAAAATCAAGGCGCAATGTGTGGTGCAATATGGCAGAATAAATAAACAAATCAATGTTACGCTTTTTAAATAAAAAATATTTTTTTTTAATTCTTTACAACACATTCGAGATTTGCTCGCTTGTCTGATTATTACTTACCATTTCTATTTAAATTAGTGTTCGCATGCATTGTCCCTCGTATGATTTGTTTTTCAGAAAGGCTAAGACTTCGTTATAAAAGTACTAGTTCGATATAAAATTTATTTCTGAATTATTGCAGTACATTGCAATATATGTATATAATACTCTCATGAAATATAAAGTTCTAAATAGTTTATACTGTTCCTAAGGACAAGTTAGATACAATTTCTCTTTCATTATTGAATTGAACTTGAAGCAATAAAATGGCTGTATTAAATAGTGTAAAATTTGAATCATGGATATTAATACCACATTGAAAATAATAACAAAGATATACTATCAAATACGTCACCTGTATGGAAATCTGGTAAACACAATTCAAATGAAAGTACCCACCAGAAATTAATTATAAAATCATTTCAAGAGGCAATTACTGAAGTAAAAAATAAAATTAAACATTACTTCGTCAGAAGTACAATACCACAATAATTTACCAACAAGTCAATAAACACTTCAATAAGTGACTTAACATACAGGTATTTAAAAATTATCCTCGACAATGTAAATTAAATAAATTTTCTCTTAATATTTTCAAGTATTTTCAAATAATTCAATAATTCCATTAACCAATTGCCTGCGAAACAATCAAAAACGAAACGTGCCAATCGCACGGCGCTGTGGTAGCAACAACCGTCAATAATCCAAAGAAATCGTCTTTTTTGTCATTATTTGTTAGTTACATTTATTAAACAAGTAATTTACAAACATAAAACATTTAATAAAAAGGTATAAATATATGTGTATATGTATACATATACAGGCTGTCTCAACAAACTTGATCGCCTCGAATAATGACTTAACGATACACTTTATGAAAATTTTGAGGCGTGGGAGTTAAATGGCATTGAGGGACACAACTTATAAGGTACGTGCTTTTTTGTGGGTGGCGACAGTTCAGAGATTTCAAAGTGACCTTGATTTTTTTTAGAGGAATGATCTATTTTTTGTACCATGGATCGATAGAGTATCACATTCTGAGTAAAAATGTGTTGACCTTCATACGTCCTAAACCTAATAGTTAAGGAGATATTTACAAAATAATCACTGTATTGGAGTTGGGGGCATCAGTTCGAGCACTTATAGCTTCCAGATATAGTACGTATTAAAAATTATGTTGTAAATATCTCGTTAACTGTTACGTTTAGGACGTATGAAGGTCAACACATTTTTACTCAGAATTTGATACTCTATCAATCTATGGTACAAAAAATAGGTCATTCCGTTAAAAAAAATCAAAGTGACCTTGAAATCTCTGAAATGCCTCCACCCACAAAAATAGCACGTACCTTATAAAATGTGCGCCTTGATACCATTTAAGTTCCGCGCCTCAAAATCTTCAAGTTTTAAGTGTACCGTTAAGTCATTATTCGAGGTGTTTAAGTAAGCTGAGACACCGTGTATACATATACATATAATATATGTTCGCACCAAATGAGCATCTAGCATTGGACGCCTATAAGCGCTGTTCGCAGCAAAGAATTAAAAGAAGTGACTGTAAACATACACTTAAAGAAAATAGGAGAAATATTATTACATTGAAACTTATAAGTTTTACAAAAGTATCCCGGCGACAGATCCAAAATGTCTGTCCATAAAATTCGCCTCTGAAATGTTGTCAATTTTGCGTCTCGATTGGCATTATAAAATGGAGCAGCCGAGCCAGCAACAATTGGCATCAAGCTCCTCTTGTCCATCGCGCCATATTTCCCTCCTCGGTTCTCTGGGCACGCGGGCATCATCGAGTCACACACCGCTGATCTCGTTCCCTCGATTTTCGTTCTCCAACGAGATAGGAATACAAAAAGGGGCTCGTCCGCGGTTGAATTCGAGCCCGTTCGCGTTTGAATTCGAGCCCGTTCGCCTGCGAACGAGCCCGCGCGAAAGGCAGAAATATTTCTATCGTTGATTCGAAGCCAACGTGGGGGTAATAATCGGGACGCACGTGTGTAACGATACGTCGCGAATCGGCGGAATCATCGTTACCAGACTGGAATGTCCAATACGGGGACGGTGAATATGAGGATCGTAACGTACGGAACTGTGCAGTCGAGTATATGTTAAGGATTTTATTTAGCGTGAGCAAGAAATTTAAATTGCACTTATTTATGAAACGGACGTCTTAAAAGACTCGCGTATAGGGATGGGGCAGTTAAGAGATACAATTATATGTTGTTTATTTAAAGTATTTTTATATTTGTTAATGAAGCTTTTTTCCAACAATTATTACGTAGATCAAATCACAAAAGGAAAATGTTACCAGTGATAAATAAAGGAATTAAGTCTTTTTAAAGGGGTAAGTTTATTTGAAGATTGTGCATGTCTACAAATGGTGTAGAAGACACAAGCGAAATATTATCTCTTAATGTCAAAGGTGCAAGGAGTAGTACTCATCACTAAAGTGCAAGAAGTGGCCTATTGGACTCGCTTCGCTCGTTCAATTGCGAAGGGGCGACAAATTTCATCGAATATTTCAGTGCAAGTAACACACGAAATTGACAGTTTCATTTAATTATTAAGTTACGGGTTACCTAACAATATTTTTGATAATCAACTGATGATTAATTTCACCAAAACAATAGTAAAAAGTTTCAGAAAATGAGTGGAACTATTTCGAATAACGGATGCTGTAGGAGTTCTTCGATAGGTAGGTAGGTACTAATAAAGATTTTCTACGGGAAATGACTAATACTTGTACATGCACCTACATAATAAAACTATTAATAGACTAAACAATTTTTTAATTGATTCAAGGTCCCATAGTTTACTCCATAAATATCTATATATATGCACATAAACATCCGCAGTCTAGCCATAATTTCGTAAAATTTTCAATGTATTAATGATTCCATTTCTCATATAATAGATTCAGTTATTACAATAAAAACTAAAAGTGCATTTACTTAAAAGGAAAAGAACAGTTCATTCAGACATTTTTCATAGATTACAATCCAATAGGAAAACCAACCGTCGAACTTTATGAATAAAGAAATCGGAAAGAAGGACCCTTAGAAGCAACGTAAGCAAAACTGTGCGAACAAAAGCAATCTGGGACGGGAGAAGGGCGCCACCAGCGCGTTTCCAGTTCCGACAACGGTATTCCGAAACCAATCAACTATTTTGCAGCTGCATCGGACGTACAATTTGCCCTCGCCAGCGACATATTCTTGAAAGTCCGTAATTCGAACGAGGCTTCGTGTCCCGGATCGCCGGAAACGCGTTAAAAAAAAACATGGTGATTTTTCACCGACGAGGTCAAGTTGCTTGGAGAACGCTATCGGAGAAATTTTTTTACTTCTTTTCCCCAGCTGTCCGAAGTTATTTTTTTTTCATTTGACGTCTCACGGTGCAATGTATTGCTCGTTAAATGCAGTTGTATTCGGGGATTGTGTAATACATTTTTAATTTCTTTTTGGTTTTTTGGCTTGGATGTTTTGAAAATCTTTGGCCCTCTTTTCTGTTGGCTTTCCTGCGATTTTCTTTCTATCCTAGATTTCTAGGCAAGACTTAAACTTTAAACTTAATCTTTTGCAGCTATAACAGCGACAGCAACAGAATATGTTGTTTCATTTCCCTTGTATTTACTATACATACATAAATATGGATTATCTGTACATTGTATAATTAGGTCTCTAATTTAAGATTTTGTTACATGAAATTGTATAAATATTATCTAATCTAATTCATTGAATTTTTATTTAAGTAGATATTATTCCATAACCCCCATTTTTCTGAACACACATGTGCGTGCATAATCCATGTCACGGATTAATAATCAAGTTCAGTAAAATGTGTGTTTTTCTTTTAATCTACTCAAACTTTTTCGACGTAAACAATTGTCGTAGTTAATACTTCCTCAGAAAAACATATGTTGTGATCGACAATATATATTATGATAAATAATTTTCTCTTCTTTTGTGTTAAATTCTATGAATCCTATCACACACTTTATTTTCAGTAATTATCGTTCGATTAATTTGTAATCCAACTAACACAAGCAAAAGAAATCAGAATAGGTTGGAAGTAATATAAAGACTTTATTAATCTTCATAGGAAATTTTTTTCTCATGATCAGTAAATAAAATATACAGCCAAGTACTTATTAACACCATGACGACCGATAACACGACACTGGCGACATGTCAACTGGTACATTTCAGATATTCAAAGTCATTAAACTTCTTTATAGACACAGCAAAATCCATAATTTGTTAATTCTTGACAAAAAAACAGTCGGTCACTGGTAAAAGTTACTCGCGAAAGTAGCCGCACGTCGGCATGTTAATAAGATTTTCTATGCCAATGGAATAAATTGTTTACTATACGGAATGTATACAACATAGTAAAATATTATATCAAATTATTTAATTGATCTGTATTGCTATTTTGCAATTGAGTAAAATACAATGAAACAAAAAAATTTTCATGAATTTGATACAGTGTGCATTTTATGGTACATTTAACTAACCTCTCAATCGATGAAATAAACTTTTGTTGGACTGTCTTCTGTAAAACTATTTTTGACAACAATAACTTCTACAATCATCCGCTGTTA